ATTTTTTTTTTTTTTTTTTGCTGGAGGAGGGGAGGGATGTTTACTATGGGCAAAGCTCTATGCCTGGAAAACACAAGTAGAAAAAAATAAAATTGTGCCCTTACAGAGCTTATCATACAAGAGAAGAGTCGTATATGTTTAAAGGAACTAGGCAGTGCCTACCTACTCTGTCATTTGTATAATGATAAAACACTTTCATGTTTATTCCTTGGAAAGATTTCAAGCCTCCCAGAGCCTTGTGTGGTTGGTGCTGCTCTTGTTATTATCCACCCTACTGGCGCCAGCCAATGACAGATGTCCTCTGAGGCTCAAAGCAGTTAGGTGACCTAGTTAAAATGACACAGCCAGTGAGAAGCACAGTGAAAACCTGAACCCCGCGCTTTTATCCTTGTACAATTACAAATACAGACTTGTTGCCCAAGTTTGCTTTTGAAACTTCTTCTCTTCGAGGAGCTACAGCGCACAGCAGAGTCTCTGTGGGTGTGGCTTTGTGTGCCGTTACCACCCTGAACTTCACATGACGCTCGCACCTGAGGCCTGGGGCTTCTCTTCCGTTTCAGAGAGTGGACCCCCCACTGCTTCATTCCCATTTGTTCTAGCTTGTCCTTCCAGAACTTGATTAGATACTGCCAAACCTCCTCAGTCTGTCCTTCAAACTCATTCATGTTTTTTTCACTTCTTTTCTTCAAGTATATTTTGATTATGCTGTTACAATTGTCTCCATTTTTCCCCCTTTGACCCCTTCCTCCCAACACCCTGTACTCCCTCAGGCAATCTCCACACCATTGTTCATGTCCACAGGTCATGCGTGTAAGTTCTTCGGCTACTCCATTTCCTATGCTGTACTTTACATCCCCATGGCTGTTCTGTAACTACTTGTACTTCCTATTCCCCTCAGTTCTTCACCCATTCACCCATAGCTCCCTCCCATCTGGCAACCATCAAAGTGCTCTCTGTATCCATGATCCTGTCTCTGCTTTTCTTGCTTGCTTTTTAGATTCTGTTATTGGTAGACATGGATTTATTGACATTTTGTTGTTCATAGTTTTTGTCTTTTTCTTAAATAAGTCCCTTTAACATTTCACATAATAATGATTTGATGATGATGAACTCCTTTATCGTTGTCTTGTCTGGGAAGCTCTTTATCTGCCCTTCAATTCTAAGTGATGGGTTTGCTGGGTAGGGCAATCTGGGCTGTAGGTCCCTGCTTTTTATGACTTTGAGTATTTCTCATCAATCCCTTCTAGCTTGCAGTTTCTTTTGAGAAACCAGCCAACAGTCTTTGGGAACTCCCCTGTAGGTAACTAACTTCTTTTCTCTTGCTGCTTTTAAGGTTCTCTCTTTATCTTTAACCTCTGGCATTTTAATTATGATGTGTATTAGTGTGAGCCTCATTGCATTGGGACTCTGTGATTTCTGGACTTGCATGTCTATTTCCTTCACCAAATTAGGAAAGTTTTTTATCACTGCTCTTTCAAATAGATTTCCAATTTCTTCCTCTTCTCCTTCTGGCACCCCTATGATGTGAATGTCAGAACCCTTGAAGTTGCCTCAGGGGCTGTATATACTACCCTCATTTTTTTATTTTGTTTTCTTTCTTCTTCTTTTTCTGACTGGTTGTCTTTCTGGTTCCTTACATTCCAAATCATTAAATTCATTTTCAGCTTCATTCACTCTACTATTGTTTCCCTGTAAATTGTTCTTTATTTCAATCAATGTGTCCTGCATTTTGACTGGATCTTTTTTATGCTGTTTAGGTCCTCACTAAGTTCCTTGAGCATCCTTATAACCAGCGTTTTGAACTCTGCTGTCACAGATTGCTTATCTCCATTTTGTTTATTTCTCCATCTGGAGCACTGATCTGTTCTTTCTTTGGGGCGTTTCTTTGTCTCCTCATTTTGGTAGCCTCCTTCTATTGTTTCTATGTATTAGGTAGAGCTGCTATGACTCCCTATTTTGGTAGTGTGGCCTAATGTAGTAGGGTCCAGTGGCATTGCCTCTCCTGTCACCCAAGCTGGGTACTCGAGGTGTGCCCTTCATGTGGCCTGAGGACACCCTCCTCTTGTAATTGAGTCAGTTGCTGTTGGCAGGTTGATGGAAAAGATTTACCCAAGCCAGTCAGCTGCAGAAATTGGCTGTGACCACTGACCACCAACCTCCACCCTCCATGGAGGATCAGCTGTGCAGGGGCAGGGTGGTGGTGCTCTGATGTGGTCTGCAGCTGTCCAGTGGGTGCACATATTCTGGGGTTTCCCGGGCAGTGCAGTGCAAGGTCAGCCACCACCTGTGTTCTGCCCAGAGCCATACTGCATGAGCTATCACACAATCTGCAGAGGGCTGATACTTGTGCCAGGCTTGGAAGTTCCCAGGCAAAGCCAATCTGTTTACCTAGGCTGGCTGCGACTAGTACCAGGACTGGGGCCACTTAGCAAGAGGTACAAAGGCTGGGCTCTGAGGGGGGCTCGTGAGGCTGTCTGTTGCTTGTTTGAAAGGATTTAGGAAGTTGTGAAAAGTGAGCAAAGACCAGCTATTCATATGGAAAAGCCACTGTTAACAACCTAGGTGGGCCATAAGTTTGGTGGGACAGTGCCTCAGGAAATCTCCAGGGTGGGGCAAATAGTGTTAGCCAGGTTGATGGTGTCAGAAAGGGACAATGGCCCCTGTCCACCTTTCTGTCTGGAAGAAAACTGTCCTCCACCTGTTGCCCTGATTCCAGACACTTCACTTCCTCCCTGTGTGCCACTGGCGCCCTTCACGCTGCTGCCTCAGCCCTGGAGTTTAGAGGGGGTGAGTCTGAATAAGTCTGTGTGTGGGCTCTTTCAGAGGAACTGCTTTGGGCTCCAGAAGTCTCTCCCACTGACTCTGGTTTTTGCAGCTAGAAGTTATGGAGACTTATCTCCCTGGCACTGAAACCCTGGGGGTTCAGGGACTCCTCACTCCCGAGACATACCTCCTAAATTTTTGTCCACTACATGGATGAATGGGCGTGGTAGTACCTCTGTCGCTGCTACCAGTCTGGATGGATGTGGTTTCTTTAATTCCATAGTTGTCTGACTTCCATTCAGCTCAGGTTCTGATGGTTCTTGAGTTTCTCAGGTCCCTTTGCCAAAGCACTAACTCTCTTCACATCTTTATAAATACACTAGATCAAACTTTTTAGAACCCATCTGTTCTTTTTCATATTCTCTGTTCTTTCACTGGGGCTCCCCTACCCTCTTCTATCTTTGAAATCATTCCACGCACTTACTGCATAGTCTCTGGCAGGGAGTTCGGGAATACCAAGCGAGTTTTGTGACAACTGCTGATTCTCCCTCATGGTAGTTTTATCATAAATTGATCCTTGTCATGGCAGAACCAGCTCGAATTGGTCCTATCATGTTCAGTGAGCTACTAAGTTGTCTTTCAGAGACAACAGACCAAAACTGCATGTCATGCAGCCAAAGCATATGCAAAGGAGAAAACTTTGACCTCCAGTTGCACCGGGAACCAAAGTCCCACAAACATCATGACACCACCATCACCCCACTGAACCCAAGAGTCAGGACGTAGCCGGACCTTGAACACCAAAACCCTTTCAGAAGCCAAAGGCCCATTTTCCAGGAAGATTCAGTGTCGATGCCCCTTTACTATAAACGGCCAAGTTCCAAGGTCCTCCAGTTAAAACGTGCCCGCCAGCACTTTGCATACCTGCTCCCCTAACCCCTTAAAAACCATTAATCTGGTCTATCAGGATGGATTTGAGACACAACTAGGTCTCCTATTTTCTCAGCACGTTTTCAATTAAAAAACCTTTTTTTATTCCAAACTCTGACTTGTGACTTTTGGCCTTTCAAAGTGTCAGACACACAAATTTGGGTTTTGACAACAATCTCGGTGGGGCATTCTCTATGGCAAGAAGACCTCGTTCGCCCAGGTGACAGGAGTGTCCCTAATGAGCATCTGCGGGTGCTTCTAGTGAGCAGTCTTCCACCAGACAGCCTCCCACAGCCTGTCTTGTGTGAATTTTTCCACCTGGAGAGAAATTTAGATCTCTAATTCAGAGTAACCAATGTAATCCGAAGTACACCTACTATGCTTGTCACTCTCTCCCCGAGATTCTGAGTTTAAGGAAAATGAAATATAATATTCTTATCACAAGAATTGGGCAGAAAGTGCCTATCACAGAGTGAACTGTGGGAAATATTTTCCAAACGTTCAACATCTCCCTTCCCCAGGGTAGTAAGTAGCAATCACAACATGGCTCTGGGCCCTCTCTCCAGATTTGGACCACTTATTAAAGCCACTTTTCACCCTGTGAGAAAGATGCTTAGACAGTGTTCAAAATGAATTTGTTTTAGAATTATTTTTATTCTTATAAGTACATACACACTGGGGAATTGATTTGAGCAAGCTTTTAATTACTGGTTTTAGTTGTGTATGATTCTTTGCAGATTTTATTAATCTTTCTTTTATGACAGTTGAATAAAACTCAGTCTTCTATGATGACCAATTACTCAGTGATATTATCAAGCTACTTCTAAAACTCTACTCAGGAAAGGGTTCTAAGACAACTGTTAGCTATTGCACACCAACCAAAGTGCCATTTTAAAAGCTAAGCAAACACATCACTGTCACCTTCCTGGAGATTCTATAAAAACAAATGAAAGAGCTGCTAATGGCACACTAACGCTCTTAGTATAACTGTCACAGAAATATATGCATACGTTACTTAGCTTATTTATTGGTTTGAAAAGTGGCCTCTCACAATTCATTTCTAAGCTTGCCTTTGAAGGGATAGACTACTGTCTAGCAAAAAAAAATATGGAAACTATTCTTTCATTATAAATTCTTCAATGTATAAAAGAAGGAAAACAATGGAGAAATTATTGAAAACATTTTCAGTGAACATATTTATATTTGAAAGTTCCACATTAAATAAAATTTTAACATTCCTTATTTTAAGACAGAAGAATAACCTCTGTCCCCTTAGGTCACATAATAAATACATATTTATGTCTTACCTCTGAACTTCTTGGGAGGGTTGGCGAGGTCCCCTGCCTCCGGGTGCACCACGCACCTGTCATCCACTAACCTGGAAGAAAAAGCACGATGACCTTGTTAACCTCGTCAGAGCCAAGAAGCGCAGACAGCACGTGGGCATCATATATTTTCACTCTTCACTAAAAAACTTCATAATCATCATGGATTTACAAAAAGGTTTGTCATAAAGGGATTAATTAAAGCAGCATTTATGAAACTCAAAACTGAAGTAACAACTCAACATCGTTAAGTGGTAGGAGCCTGGTTAGATACATCAGGACACAGACGCACCACGGAACACTGGAGAGTTGTGTACAATTCTACTTGGAAAATGTACTAGCCTGCCAAACATTTATAATATATCGTGAAAATAAGTAGAAATAAATCAGTAAGATCTCATATATGCTAACAAACACACACACACACCTCTTACACATACGAGAGGAATGGAACACATTAACCTTGGTCGGATTACCTGTAGTTTTCAACCTTGATCAGATTACCTGTAGTTTTTATTTTCCCTTTCTGTCTGAGTATGTGCTTTGTTTTTCTCACAAGCAATGTGTAAGCCCATGAGGGCAGGCTTACAGAGTGACCGCAGAATGAGGGGGTGGTTATAAGCGCTCGTCCCATGTTCAAACCCTGGCTCAGCGACATCCTACCAGGTGCCTCTGTTCCTCCCTCTTCGGCCTGTGAAGCCAGGATCGAGCACCTACCTCACAGCGTTGTCAGGAGGATTAAAGGACTTACGATCCACAAAGGACCAAGTACAGTTTCTAGCACATTGTAAGCCCTTAAGTAAGTGTTTAATAGATAAATAAAATCAAAGATCTCGCCTGCTTTATTCCTCATCATACTGTGCTTCTAGAAGAATGCCTGACACATAGTAGGTACTTGATAAATAATAATCAGCCTTGGCTGGTGTGGCTTATTGCATTGAGCACCATCCTGCAAAGGATCACCAGTTCGATTCCCTGCCAGGGCACATGCCTAGGTTTTGGGCCAGGTTCCTAGCTGGGGGCGTGTGAGAAGCAACTGATCAACGTTTCTCTCCCTCTGTCTCTCCCTTCCCCACTCTGTAAAGAACAATAAAAAATAAAATCTTTTTAAAAAATAACAAATAAATAAATAATCCAATGAATAAATTGCCTTTGTAGATTAAAAAAAAAACATATTTTATCCCCATTAAAATAGTTACCAGAAGCCAGTTTCTAGGACAATTCCAGGAGAATAGCTAAATTTCTGCCCTGAGAACCAAGAAAATGTCTCTCCTGTCCAAAGAGAAATATCTAACTACCAAAGACTTACTAACATTCATTTTTTCCAATGACTGAGTGGTGGGAATAACTGGGTTCCCCCCCCCCAGGATATTGTAAAAATGCCTGTGAATTAGTTCTAAGTTTGTGAATTCATTTGAAGGAAGATGACCAAGTTGCAACTTTCTTTTAAAAACAAACAAAATATACTAACCGGACTCACTAGTACACATCAACTCCAACACAGAGTAAAACCCAATTCGTGACTAAACGTTCACTTGAACTAGGCCGATTATCCAAATCGTGGTTCCTGGCTTATCTGGTTACCAGAAGCAGACACTTCCTAAATCACCAGATTTATCTATAGTGTCCAATTTCCACAAAACAAAATGTTAATTTAGTTAAGCAATAAGGTTCTTTCTTTGATTTTTATTTTAATATACATCATTCACACTGGTTTACAAAAACGTGGTTTTACAAGAGCTGCCAAGCATGTAAGAAATTCCTTTTAAGAGTTTTTAAAACTGTTTTCTTAGAAACAGGAAGTCCCATTGAGTCAAGAAGCAAACCCAAATGTCTGCAATACCCAATTTCGCTCTGCAACATTGAATGCAAGAGGCTCATGAGAATGTCACAACATAACACTGAATTTTTTAAGAAATGCTGTGAGGAAAAGGTCTGCTTTTCTAATTAGTTAAGAATTCTAAATATAATAAAAAAAACATAATCTTACCCTTCAGAGTATATTAAAATTATATAAAAAGTAGCAATGACATTCTACCCATTCTTGGTGCCTACCCCATTCCCACAGAACTACAGCTTCCCCCTAGAATGCACCGGGAGACTCCCCACCTGCATGGGCTAGCCATCAGAGGACCGGGAAAAACTAAAGCCGTAAATCAGATCACAGTGCATTTATATAAACACATATACCTGTCCTCAATTACCTAGTAGCTCAGGTAAAAGCATAATTAAGAATGACTTCAGTTCTCAGAATTTGTCTTATTCCTTATACCCAAATGTCTGTAAAAATCATAAAGACCATCGTTTCATTGTGCAAACGTAAAGAACTGGAATTGGGAATGAAAGAAAGAGGATAGAAAGAAGCAAGTGTGAATCTGTTATAAAGACATATACCAGTGATTTTCAACTGGTAAGTCACAAAATTTTTTCAAACCTATGATACCCGACTATTTAGTCAGGGGGCAATCCCTTAGATTGTCAAATAAAAAATGACAAAAGCCAACACAACAATAGCCATCTAGTGGAATGAATCAAAATGATACCTATTTTTTTTTTTTGTCAAGCCAGCAAAAAATATATTTTTGGTGAATTTTTGTGCACCACGGAATTTTAGTGATTAGTTTATGTGTGCCATGAGATGAAAAAAGTTGAAAATCGCTGACATATATGATCATTTAAGTTAAACATTAAATGGGATTTCAATGGTAATCATTGGCACAACTTCTACAATATTCCCAACACTCTCTTCTTGAATACCTACCTCCAGGGCCAGAGTGTTCCTCTTTTACCAACTTTCTGACAGTACTGATGTCAGAAATGTGTCTTATCTGGAGGTGAAACAGCACCCTGTGTTTCCCACCACAAAACTGAACGCATTTTTTATAATGACTTACTTAACTGTCTGGATCTTCCAATAAATTAATTCCATTAAGTCAGGAACTGAATCCATCTGTTTACCATTATATCCTTGGCATCTTCTAGAATTAGTTACAGTGATACTAAATAAATATTTGTTATATGCAGAAATGGGTCAGTGAAGAAGTGAGTCTTCCTTCCCAAACAACTTTCCTTTTGCTTCCATTTCTTTCTTCTGTAACTAGACAGACCACATATTCTTTTTTCTGGGATAAACAAGGCTATTTCTCTCCAGTTCTTCCTCACTGGGATATTTACCAAGGAGCTCCACATCTTTTCATATACCCAAGTGTCAAATGCCACTTTAAATGGGACCCTAGGAACTGTCCACAGGAATCTAGATGTGCCCCCAAACAAGTGGGACCGGGGACTCTTCCCGTGTCTTTTTGAGGCTAAGTTTATATATAGTTAGGCATCCTAAGATCCTGGTAGCTCCCTTGGCAGTCAAGCCCACCTCTGATGTTCATTGGGTCTCTATAGCTAAACAACTCCAGGATCTTTTCATGTGTACTGATGGTAGGAAAGGCACCCACATCCACCATTGGGACAGTTTTCTCCCATAATCTGAGGATAAGAATTTACAACTGAATAGGGACAAATATAAAGATCAACCTATAGCCTCTGAGTAGAAAGCACCTGGAAATCATCCACTGCATCTCTAGATAATTCATTTCAAGTCCTTGTCATTACTGCTGCCCATTTTCATCACTCATAAAGTGTTTCCCAAATCTGGCTAATTGGCTGAATTTTATGGGGAATTAAAATAATGAACAATAATCACAATAAGAGTAACAACAAAAACAGAAGGCTTCTTTGGTATAGACCTACAAAATCAAAGTTTTGGGGGATCAGGAATAAGAATCTTTATTTTTGTAAAAGCTCTCTAACCTTTCTTAAATGGACCAGGAATACCTGTCTTGTACTCCCGTGGTACCTACACACCTCCATCAACAGAGCTGGCACTCTGTACTAATTCCTGACTTATGCATGCCTCTAACACTCTAAATTATAAGTTCCAAGAGAGCCCATTTTTATTTTCTTTACCATAACGTGCCCAACCAAATACTAGGCCTCAAACATGGGGGTTGTTAAATAATTTTACTGAAGTGAGTGACTAATTGACTCTTTGAATCGCGGAATAAATCAATAATGTCACTTTTGATAGATCCTATAAACAGTAAAAATACTTAGAACCAAGAAATGATTGCATAATAATAGATGGAAGAAAGGGTTGTAACAGCCACACTGTTGGCAATTTCCCCCCTGCAGATGCATCTCAGAAAAATTATCAAAAATATCAAGGGCCAAGAGAACCTGCCCTAAATAACAATTTCTCATACAGCATCTTTCAACTCAACATATTAGTGCCCTTTTAATGGGCTGCATTTATTGTTGTCACGTCTGAATCAGCAAGTAAAGCAATTCCAGCACTAGCCTAAAATTCTCAATCTGTCACAGAAACTCAGCTATTGTAAAACAGGTTATCCTTCGTATCTATCTTCTCTGCACAAGGTTGTAACTGTAAATTGTTTGTTCGCTTTAATTTATAAGAAAAAAAATCATTCAACTATTAGACCTTCCAAGGTATATCTATAAGCAGATTTCAGTAGATACTTTGATTTTATACATACGTGTGAATCAAAAACATGGGACTTTTACCACGTCCTCTGCCCCAGCCCTCTTCACCTTTTGTAACTACCATACTGTTGTCTTTGACTATGAGGTCTTTCGTTTGTAAATTACAAAGTAAACAGAGTACCACTGACATTTAAAAAATATATATGAGTGTAATGTTAACGAGACATGGCCCCCAGAGAAATGCTTGCAGACATGAATCTGGAGACATGTGCAAAAGAGCTTCAGGCGACACTGCTCCAGATGGAAAATGGGAAAACACAAATGTCCATCAAAAGGAGCATAAATAAATCACAACTAAATAAATAATTTCATACACTGTATAATATTTTAAAGGTAAATAAATCTGGCTTCTTCCCTAAACTGTTCCCTACCACGAATTCCCTACCACCCTGAAACATCAACTCCCTCCTGCCTTTTCATTTAAAAGTAGCACTAAGATAGAAGACAAAACACTTCAGTTCTAATGCTTGGTCAGCCATTCCATAATCAGCTGTGTTTA